TATTTAGCGCGATTTGGCACCAAACCGTAGGCGCCAACCCAAATGCAAAATTTAGTCGCCACGGGGGATCGAACCCTTAACAGTACCTTATGCTTCTTTTTTGGTACTGCTATAACCGTTCAGCGAAAATGAAACATGGTTTTGCGTTCCCTACATGCGTCCCTACAATATGCACAAAACCGTTTTGAAAAAGCGCACCTTGCCCTGAAAGACCTCCCTTGTAAGGTACGTGAGCAATTTTCATCTCCCTGGAATTCTTCCCCTCTAGTTTAGATTTTGGGGATTCCCCACATCTTGCGAAGCGCCGAAAATTCTTCTTAAGTAGTCTCTCATGCTATATCATAAGTCACATCACAAGTTTTTCGTGTTTTTCCCACGAGCCTTTTCCCCATAAACTGTGCTCATGCATTGTCCCATGGGGGCAGCATTGTACAACTTAGTGGTTCAACCCATTCCCATAATTTTGACAGAAAATTACCAACTCTAGAGAGATATAAGGCTGGAAAACTTGTAGCAGAACTCGATTTGAAGTCGGTCCATAAATCGCCTATGCGGTAGTGGCAATTTCTTCTTTCAACGTAAGCGCACATCCGCCGCCCCTCAGTGGTCATAAGCATTCGACTTCATTACGCATTTGCCTCCTGCTTAAAAACATTTGCCTTCTGCTCCGAGAACCCACTTTTCTAAGTTTGTGCTCATCACTCGCTCTCATCATCTCGCTATCGTTCCTTACCCTCTCTTAACTAATTCAAAATAAATAGGGTGTGAAGCATAAAACTGCTACAAGTATGTTTGAATCACTCAACCATGTTGGACGAAATTGGAATGCATGGCGTAACTGAAAAAGCTACGCCCGTTCTCTCCATCCTATGATGCAATGATTTACTATTATGGTACTTTCAGGCCGCTTTACGCTGTCGTCATCGCGCTGTGTCTTCTGCTTGCGTTATGTGCGATAATTACAGTGTTCTTGATGTTCTACAGAAAGTACACGAAACGCGGAAAGGTGGGTATTTCCTCATCGATTGGCACCGAATCTCATTCAGTAAGCTAGAACCGCTTTTTCAGTCCGTACGTATACGTTTCATATCCGATCATATCAACAGTAACGGTATGGTAGCTGCTGAACCCCGTGCTCCGTTGATTTACAATTGTGGGTTTTTTCTATCATCGAGACAATCATTCAGCTAATACCACTTTTGAATAAAAGTAAATGCCGTGAAGAAGTTGCTGAGGTGTCGAACATATCGGCTCGGCCGAGACTCACTTGAGTTCGAATCCATGCATGGGGTCCGAATTCGAGTCCCTGCTAAAGCAAAGTCTTGTATCCTCTTGGTAACCTTGAGATGGTATTCGCGCCGTGAGCTGTGCCGAAGAGTGGCCGTCAATAACAAGCGCAAAGTAACAAACAGACGCTGAGAGATGAACCCATGAAAAAGTTTTCCTTTTACGTTTTTTTGGTGGTGAGCAGATCGAAACGCGGCGCTAACGCCCACAACCGGAATGCATCTGCAATTTTGGACAAGAAAGTGACTTTCCTCAGGCCAAAGGAAGACTTTAGCACCATCATTGTTACCTTTTTACCCTCAGTCTATTGCACTCGGAAATTAAATGGCTGTGAATTACAATAATCAGGCTACTTTGGTAACAAACAAAAATCGTGAAAAATGGAATGTTACGAGCCAAAACTCACTGCGTGTAACCTTTTTATGAGTCAAGTACTGGATTATGAACAAAACTTTCCTCCCAGGCGGGACTAGAACCCGCACCTCTCGCTTTCCGGGCAAGTGCGCTACCAGTTACGCTACCGGGGCACCATTTCATCCCAACTCAGCGCCCCAGCCATATTATATTCAGCATAGCTTATCAACGCTGACACCTTTGAGGTTCGAGTCCCGCCTGGGACAGAAATTTTGTTCATAACTACTATGCTCTATTCTTATGAATCTTTCCCTACTCGATATCACCGTTAGAACAAACGAAACTATCTAAGTAATAGTAATCTTCTCTATAGTCTTCAAAGCTCTAAATGCACCCTTAGTTACGGATCATGGCGAGAAATCGTTCCGAATTGTTTTGAAAGCAATCGAATATCAATTTCCTATTTTGACAACTCATTCTTGCAATACAATTCATTCAGATCCAACTACCGTATTGCTCGTGTATAGCCATGACTGCCCACAACATGATGCTGCCGTGTTGGCTTTGGCCGAATTGCTTCGAGACACCTTCAAAATGGACGTGCATGTGAGTAGAAATGAGTAATGCTAGGTCAATCAATATATCGATCGATCTCAACTATACCATAATTTTAGTTGGATGTCTGGGATGAGAACGACATTGAAAAGAATCTCAACGAATACATCAACGCCAGCATTGTCAAAGCTGACAAGGTAGGTTCTAAATCAATTTTCAAGACATCGTTGAACTTCAACTCCTTTTCTGAGAGGACTTTGAGGCGTTCTCATTACAGCTGAAGATTGATGGCGTCTAAGCAGGCCAAACCTTCTAAAAACTCTGAGATACGAATGAAACTTCAGCGCGGCCGGTAGCTGCTATACTTACCGTAATATTGGTCGTAGTGGCACTTTGAATGCGATGTGGCCTATACAATGACTTGCGGGGCCAGCCGATGTACAAGTCAGTGTTTTTATCCTCCCAGACAAGTCTGGTACCAATTAACCGACCCCGGAGGGATGGAAGGCTTGGTTGGCCCGGGCGACTCACGACCCAGGATTTGATCCCCGGACCGCTCGCGTGGTAGGCA